AAAAAAAAAAAAAAAAAAGAAACACCATAGTTGCCAGATGTGGTCACTCATGCTTGCAATGCCAGTACTTTGGGAGTCTGAATGGGAGGATTGCTTGAGCCAAGGAGTTTGAGTCCAGACTGGGCAATGCAGTGAGAACTCATCTCCAGGAGAAATTTAAAAAATTAGACAGGTGTGGTGACACATGTCTGTGGGTCCAGCTACTTGCAAGGCTGAGGTAGGAAGTTTGCCTGAGAGTGGAAGGTAGAGGCTGCAGTGAAGTGTGATCACACCATTGTATTGCAGCCTGGGCAACAGAGTGAGAGACTGTTTCAGGAAAAAGAAAGGGAGGGAGGGATGGAGAGAGGGAGAGAAGGAGAGAAGGAAAGAAAGAAGGAAACTACCTACCACCATCACTCTTTTGATAATAGCTGTAATGGAGCCCCTTTGCAGAGAATTCAGTCCACTCACTTTCAAACAATTCAGACAGGGCATAAAGCCCACATTTCTCATGATAAAGTAAAATATGTAAATCAAATGCTAATATAAAAGTATTTGTGAACAAAATTTTTGTAATGTGCTTCTTATTTCTTATAGAAATCATATGGCAGAGAGACTCTGTGAATGTAAAGATGGTCAATGTGACAAAACTTTCAGCCTGATTCCAGATGCTATAATGAACAAGAAGACTTTTCCTGGGGTAAAACCATGTGAAAGCCGTGTGTGTGCAGAAGGCAACATGGATCCTTCATCTCCGAATTGCTGCAACGGAGCTGACACTGGACACAAACCATGTAAGTGTCGGGAACATGGAGAGAAGACACATAAACGTAAGCAATGTGTGAAAACCTTCAGCTGTCTCCACTCCTTTCAAACACATGAAACGCCTCACACTGGAGAGAAAGCCTATGATTGTAAGGAATTGAAAAAAACCTTCATTTCTCTCAAAACTGTTCAAAGACACAGGGTAATGCACAGTGGAGATGGACCTTACACATGTATTTGTGGGAAAGCCTTTGTTACTCTCAGTCTAAATCTCACACATGAAAGATCTCATACTGGACAGAAGCCATATAAATGTAATGAATGTGGGAAAGCCTTTGATTGTCTCAGCCATTTTCATAGACATGAAAGAACACACACCGGGGAGAAGCTGTATGAATGTAAGCAGTGTGGAAAAGCCTTTAATCGTTCCAGTAATATTCGAGCACATGCAAAAATTCACACTGGAGAGAAACCGTATGAATGTAAGCAATGTGGGAAAGCGTTTCATAGTTGGAGTTCTGTTCGAAAACATGCAAAAATTCACACCGGAGAGAAACCGTATGAATGTAAGCAATGTGGGAAAGCCTTTACTCGTCCCAGTTCAATTCAACGACATGCAAGAATTCACACCGGAGAGAAACCGTATGAATGTAAGCAATGTGGGAAAGCCTTTACTCGTTCCAGTTACATTCGAACGCATGCAAGAATTCACAGTGGAGAGAAACCCTATGAATGTAAGCAATGTGGGAAAGCCTTTATTCAGTCCAGTGCCTTTCAAACACATATAAGAATTCACACTGGAGAGAAACCTTATCAGTGTAAGCAATGTGGGAAAGGCTTTAGTTTACCCAGTAACGTTCGAATACATGCAAGAATTCACACTGGAGAGAAACCCTATGAATGTAAGCAGTGTGGGAAAGCCTTTTCTTCTCTCAGTTCCTTTCGGTATCATGAAAGGACTCAACACTGGAGAGAAACCCTATGAATGTAAGCAATGTGGAAAAGCCTTTCTTCAATCCAGTTCCATTCAAAAGCATGCAAGAATTCACACTGGAGAGCAATCCTATGAATATAAGTAATCTGGGAAAGCCTTTAGTTGTTTCAGTTCCATTTGAACACATGCAAGAATTCACATTGGAGAGAAACCCTATGAATGTAAGCAATGTGGGGAAACCTTTAGTTGTTCCTGTTCCATTGGAACACATGCAAGAATTGATACTGGAGAGTAACTATATGTATGTAAGCAATGTGGGAAAGCCTTTAGTCTCAGTTCCAGTCAAACACATGTAAGAATTCACAGTGTTGTCGGGCGCGGTGGCTCAAGCCTGTAATCCCAGCACTTTGGGAGGCCGGGTGGATCACGAGGTCAAGAGATCGAGACCATCTTGGTCAACACGGTGAAACCCCGTCTCTACTAAAAATACAAAAAATTAGATGGGCATGGTGGCGCGTGCCTGTAATCCCAGCTACTCAGGAGGCTGAGGCAGGAGAATTGCCTGGACCCAGGAGGCGGAGGTTGCGGTGAGCCGAGATCGCGCCATTGCACTCCAGCCTGGGTAACAAGAGCGAAACTCCATCCCAAAAAAAAAAAAAAAGAATTCACAGTGGAGAGAAACCCTATGAATGTAAGCAATGTCGAAAAGCCTTTACTTGTTCCTGTTCTGTTTGAACACATGCAAGAATACACAGTGGAGAGAAACCCTATGAATGACAGCAATGTGGGAAAGTCTTCTTCACATATTTCGGTTCACTTCAAGTGCATAAAAGAATTCACACTGGAGAAAAGCCATATGAATGTAAAACCTCTGGGAAAGCCTTCAGTCATATCACTTCCTTTCACAGACATAAAACTGTCCACAATGCAGAGAAACCTTATGAGTATGAATGTGCAAAAGCCTTCAGTTATCACAATGCTTTTCACAGACATCAAATTACCCATACTGCAGAGAAACTTTGAGTGTAAGGAACGTGGGAAAGCCTTCTGTTATCACAGTTCCCTTCAAAGATATGAAAGGCCTGACATTGGAGAAAAATTTTATAAATAGTGTAGGCCAGCACTGTATCTCACTTCTGTAATCCCAACATTTTGGGAGGCCGAGGTAGGTGGATCCTGACAATCAAGAGTTTAAGACCAGCCTGGACAAGATGGTGAAACATCGTCTCTACTAAAAATATAAAAATTAGCTGGCCATGATGGCAAGTGTCTGTAATCCCAGCTACTCAAGAGGCTGAGGCAGAAAATTGCTTGAATCCAGGTGGCAGAGGTTGCACTGAGCTGAGATCACGCCACGGCACTCCAGCCTGGTTACAGAGTGAGACTCCATCTCAAAAACAAAAAGAAAAAAAGTAAAGCCTTTTACTTTTCCATTGTGTTATGAAACCACGAAGGTACTCACACTTTAAATAAACAATGATATTAGGAATATGGGAAACCTTTCCTTTCTCAGTTCTTTGAAGGCACACGGTGTGACACACTGGTGATAGACCTCATAACTGTCAGGAACATGGAATATGGTTTGTCCTTGTTTATTTTAGATACATGAAAGAATTTACTCTGGAGAGAAGCTGAATGTAAATAAAGAATGTGGTAAAGCCTTGTGTAGTTTCTGTTTCTCTGAAATACTGTCATTTCCTGGTACTCTCAAGGCGTTGGTTGCAGCACTTCATCAGAATATCTAAATCTGAAGATGCTCATGTGCTTTATATAAAATGGTATATTTTCCTGGAATGTAAGCACACCTCCCTATACACTTTAAGTAATCTGTAGGTTATCTATAATGTCTAATGCATTGTAAATGATGTAAAAGTGGTTGTTTCGTTGTGTTATTTTGAGGGAATGTATTAATTTCTTTTCCCGGGTCTATAAGGGGTATGGTTTCAAAGACAAGAACTTCCCAGCGATATGCCTGACCTGCCTTCTTTTTCGTCTCGGTTTGGGAGCCTAGAGTATTTTGTCTAACTTTTGTCCGGGAGGGAAGGTAACCTGCCCAGGTGAGCTGCTTTGGTTTAGAAAGCCTGCGAAAAGCTGTGGGGGGACTGTGGGCCAAACAGCCAATCAGATGTCAAAGATCAGTTATTCCAGCGGAAGTTTGAAAGAACTCTCACTGGACAACAACTAGAATGGGTCAGGAGTAACTCCCAAGTTAAAAGTCCCCTTCTCCCTAACCTGTGTGGGCTCCGTCTCTGGATCTCCGCTCACGAAAGCGTGGGAGCTTGCTTGCTCTATTTCGCTCTCTCTCTCTGCCTAATGAATCACTCTCTGCAAACCTTTTTGGGTTCAATATTTACTTGAACAGTATCACCACGCCAGGGCCTCCTACCCATTCTTTGGTGGATGAGAGCCCAAGGACCTGGAAAAAAAAAGTGGGATTGGGGAACAGTGAGTACCACATCTGGTCACAGTTCTGATAAGAAAAAACATCTGTAGATGTTTAATACATATAACCATCACAGGCCAACCTCTATAGTACATAATGGTGTATGTCCGCTACAGTGAAACATTTTTTTTCCTGAGGATTCTGGCACTGTTGCCCAAGCTAGAGTGCAACAGGCTGATCTGCCTCAAGATCATGTGATTCTCCTGCCTCAGCCTCCCAAGTAGCTGGGATTACAGGCACCCATCACCACACCAGGCCAATTTGTATTTTTATTACAGATGGGGTTTCACTATGTGGTCCAGACTGTTCTCGAACTCCTGACCTTGTGATCCATCCACCTCAGCCTTCCAAAGTGCAGGGATAACAAGCAAAAGCCCCCCCCCCTTTCCCACATTTTTTTTTTTTTTTTTTTTTTTTTAAAAAAAAAAAAGAAAAACGTGAAATGGTTTTATTTGATAGCCTGAAAGCATGTTGTAAACATTCTGCAAATCTTTTGTTCTCGACAACCTTCATATAATGATTTCTCTGTGGTTTCTAAAGCCACAATGTTTTGAGGTGCTGAGATTGTTAGTGTAAATAAATCATGCACATCAGGAGAATCGTGCTGGGAGAACCAACATCTGGTTGCAGATGTTACCTCTGGTGGACGGTTGGTAACACAAATGTTGGATCTGTAGTTGAGTGCAGAAAATATTTAAACATGGAAGTTTCCATCTTTTTCATTTATTTTGAGATGGAGTGTCACTCTTGCCCAGGCTGGAGTGCAATGGCGAGATCTCAGCTCACTGCAGTCTCTACCTCCAGGTTCAAGTGATTCTCCTGCCACAGCCTCCCAAGTAGCTGGGATTACAGGCATGTACCACCACGCCCGACTAATTTTGTATTTTTAGAAGAGACGGGGTTTCTTTATGTTGGTCAGGCTGGTCTCAAACTCCTGACCTCAGGTGATCCACCCTCCTTGGCTTCCCAAAGTGCTGGTATTACAAGCGTGAGCCACCATACCCAGGCGCATCAGTTTTTAGTAAGTGTAAAATGCACTATATCATTAGAGATTGATGGGCAAGATAAAGTATTTAAAAACATGCCAGAACAAGGTAGGTTTTAGGGGAAGAAAAGTCTAGTCTTATATTCGCTTATAAAAATTGTTTTCTTCCCATAGCCTGTGTAGTAAATTTCTCAGCTCCTTTATCTATTGGGTGATTTCAAATGGAATTCCAGGTCTTAGCATGAAAATACTACCAGGAAAAAGAAATACGGAAAAAAACTCTTCCATTTTCGTTACAGAAAAAATGAGTTTTTTTCTACAAGCAAGTGTGGTGGAGTATACTGGTGGATTACAAATATGTAGCATAATCTCAGTTCTCCTTTGTAGGTTGGAGAATTTGTGACAGTGGATAAGTTTGTTTCCTGTTATGTGAACTTGGCAGATGAATGCTAAATCCTGTGGGACAGCACTGATTTTTTGTGTACTATATGATTATTATGGAAATAGTAAATCTGTGGAAAGAACACACTCAAAGGGCTTTTTCATGGCCAGGTGTGGTGGCTCACGCCTGTAATCCAAGCACTTTGGAGGCCAAGGTGGGCGGATCACCTGAAGTCGGGAGTTCAAGACCAGCCTAACCAACATGGTGAAACCCCTTTTTTGTTTTTGTTTTAAATAAAGGGCTTTTTCTATTCTGTCAGTAACAATTAACACAGAAGACTTTTTGACCAAAAGTGTGGGTTTTCTTCCTTCCAAAAGGCAAGCAGGTTATTCTGCAGTGGACAGCAACTAGGTGTCTTCCAATTCAGTTCTGACATTACCTACGTGGAGATAGCTGCAGAGCCCACAGGTTGATGGCTCGGTCCCGACATCCTTCCCTCCTTGCCCACCACTCCCTACCATTCAGGTATCAGTGGTAAGTTGGCCTCTGGAAATTATAACCCACAGGTTTCAAAGTGGGAGTTCCTTTGCTCTCTTTGGGTTTAACTAACTTGTTATTGTGGCTCACAGAACTCATGGAAACACATCTTCAGTAGCTTCTTTGATTTCTTTACTTTTTTTTTTTTTTTTTTTTTCAGATGGTGTCTTGCTTTGTCACCATGCTGGAGTGCAGTGGTGCAATCTCAGCTCACTGCAACCTTCAGCTCCCTGGTTCAAGCTACTCTTGGGCCTCTGCCTCTTGAGTAGCCGGGATTACAGGGGTGCATCATCATGCCTGGCTAATTTTTGTAGTTTTAATACAGCGTTTCGCAATGTTGGCCAGGCTACTCTCGAACTCCTGTCCTCAAGAGATCTGCCCATTTCAGCCTCCCAAAATGCTGGAATTATAGGCATGAACCAGCATGCCAGGCTACCTCTTTTCTTTATAAATCACCAGCTTTAGATATTTCTTTGCAGCAGTGCAAAACAGATTAACACATATATTAAATAGAAATGGTGAAAGTGGGCATTCTTCTTTTTTTCCTGGTATTAGAGGAAAAGGTTTCAGTCTTTCACCATTGAACGTGTTACCTGTAGGATTTTCATACATGGCATTATTCTATTAAGGAAGTTTCATTCCATTTCTAGTTTTTTGTTCATTCGTTTTTCATTTTTGGGGTTTTTTCTGAGACAGACTTTTGTTCTTGTTGCCCAGGCTAGAGTGCAATAGCGTGATCTCGGCTCACTGCAACCTCTGCCTCCTGGGCTCAAGGG